ACAGGACCTGATGGTAACACAGTAGGACGATTCCATCAAAACAGCTATCCCAGATAAACTGTGGCATGGACTTCTTCGAAGTTTTCTCTAGAAGGGCTTAGAGTTGTGCTTATTCTCTTAGATGGACTTCTACTGGTGAAAGGCTGTTCTACAATGCCTCTGTAGCTTTATTCTGTAAATTTTACCTTTTCTAGGGTTTTTTCACTGTAGTTATCCTCAATATTATACCTTTTCCCCAGGGTTATGATTACCCCTTTTAAGATACTGAGAAAACATTATTTCTCATGCTTTTCTGAAGCATAGCTAAAAAGTTCTGTGTGTGTGTGTGTGTGTGTGTGTGTGTGCATGCTTTCACTCCATATAGCTATATAAATATACAGATATATTTGCATATATTTATATATTTATAAATATATATATTTCAGTGAGGCAACTGAGGCTTTGACAAATGCAGCAACGTGCCTGGCTTCATACCTAGAACATAGCAGAATTCAAATATGTATGGTTTGCAACTCTTACTTCATTTCTTTGTGCTACTTACAAACTTTATAGGTTACAAAATACTGAAAACTAAGGAAATCCAAGTCTTTAAAAACAAACTCTCAAGTGAGAGTTCCGTAGTATCTTCATCTTTTAAAGTAAAACAAAGCACAGAAGGAAAATCCAGATAAATTTCTTGGAATTTGCAAGAAATCAGAATTTTACTTAATAAAATGAACCCAAAATTGGATAGACTATTTGTCAAAGTGTTGAGTTTCTTATCTCCAAGCATATTTGTAGGGAGATTAGTAGCCAGATGTTGCAACCTGGTTAATTTCTACTTCTACCATCAAATTTTCACTTTCTAACTTTTTAATCCTCACCACATTTACAAGAAAATAACCTAGATCTAAGGTGGCAGATTAGGTAGAACATTCACATGTGACAAAGAATGATGGAACAATTATCATTATTGAAAGCCTCTGTGTGAAAAAAGTATTAGAATGTAAATGATGTAGCTGCTGCCATATGAAAAGCTATGAGTCTTGTTTTTATTTCCAACGAAATGGCAAACAGTCAACAGTAGCACCAACCCATAAACAAATCTCACTCTATGGGCAAGTTATACAAAATCTAAAAATAGAAAGTTCTACACAAGAAAAGTATACCTAACCAAACATTTTCAGAGAAGGAAAAAAGTAATTTTACAAAAGTCTAACACCATGTGATTTTGGTAATATGAAGCTAAATAATAAGGAAAACTAATATAATAAAGGAAGCAAAAAGTTTTGTTTTATTTAGTATTTTCTTAAGTAAATCAAAAAAGATTCCTCTGTATTTATTAGAGAAATTAAGATTGTATGGATAAAAATAAATTTATCCATGTAGACAGAACAAAAATAATTTGTGAAGGCTGTGGGTGAGCAGAAAAGCAACAAAAATGTTTCAAAGGTAAGAAAGACATGTAAAAAATTTAAATATTCATGTATATATAATATATATTTATGATAATGGGCTCTGTAATATAGTGTGAAGAAAGATCCAAGAATGTTATGGAACCGTTAGTGCAGATATCAGCTAATAGGCTGCTGCAGCATATAAAAATACTGCAAATATGAATATAAAAATACTTTAAATATGATAGGGGAAGGTGTTCTATCCTTTAAAAGAATTTATCGTATGCCTGTAACTAGAGTGTTAAAAATAGTTCTAGTCATCATGCTTAGGAAAGCCTTAATAGGCTAGAAGTGGATGGATATATGTTTATGTAAAAAGGTACATTATATATAATTGTTACCATTACTATCATAGGCAAATAAATTCTATCATATAAAGGAAAGCATGTAAAACTCTTTAAGGCTATAAAAAGGAAAACAGGAGAGCTCTTCAGGGTCAACATAACATAATAAAGTATAGGTAATGAATGAATGACTCCTTTTTAATGAGTGCTCACTATGTTATAAGCACAATTCTAAGCACTTTACTTGTATTAATGCATTTAATCTCCATAAAATCTCTTCCTGTGAACACTATTAATGTCCCAGTGAAGTACAGAGAAGTCCAGTAATTTGCCCCATGTCACACAGCTAGTAAGTAGCAAAGCCAAGATTAAAACACAGGCATTCTCATTTCAGAGAATGTGAGCTTAACCCACTGCACTTAAAACTCCAATTGAATTTTTGTCTTGTCTCTCCATTGAGATTTCTTAAATGGAGGGCTATTTGATACACTGGGAGTAGGTAGGTTTGAGGTAAATAAAAATAATTTTAAAATAAAAATAATTATAAAATGAACTATATAACCTTGAAATCTTCAGAAAACAAATCTTCTGAATTCTAAGAGACACAACACATGGAAAATATAAAAGAAGAATCATGCGGTCCCTAGAGTCACACAGACAATAGCATAAATCAGGGAAAACTGGGGTAGGTAACACTAAGCTCTTGAAGCAAGCCTCTAGAAGGTCAGGCAGAGCCTCCCATGGGGCTGCACTTCATGACCCCAACAGATACGGCTGCAGAGCAGGATGAATCTCTGACTTCACCCCAGATGGAGTGCACTCCTTCTGTGACATGGAAATGTCAGAACTGTGTCTACCTGTGTCAGGGTTCTCTGTGCTGAGTTATAAATATCTGTAGCACAGACAACAGATCTTACTCACTCACTTGACATATTACCCAGCTCAACACCACACACAAGGTTCTTGATAAACAGATTTTAATTGTTGTGATATGCTACTCTTTCACTTAATTTCACAACTTCATACAACTATAGGATCTACTTTAAGAAATAAGAATGTGTTTTCCATCTATTTTTTGTTTGCCACTGCTAAGAATTTGGCTGATTGCATGACTTTACAGCGTTGTTTTAAATAGAGAATCTCAGTAAAATATTCTTCAGGGAAGTACCAAATCTAAGATTAATAACTGTTAATTTTACTGAAGATTTTGACAAATAATTTGTTCAGGCTGGGGAAGTAATTATTCTGAGGGATTTTCTCTATACACACAATCTGCCCTTCTGAATCCATTGAGCTTTTGTTCGGCTGCTATGTTTTGCAGTTAACTTCACGCTCCTCTTGCTCACATTAGCAGAGCATCTAGTATGGAACACAATCTTTTCCTTTTTCAGACATCAGTTACCTGGAAAAGAAATGTCACCTGCCATCTCTCTCCCTCCTTCCATATTCTTTCTCTTCCTAAGAATGTGGCCCTATATACAAGAGTATAAAAGAGCTTATTCAGTGGAGTTGGGGCAAGTGGCCTACCAAGATTCAGTTCTAGAACATCTGTTTAATACAATGTTTATTCCAACTCTGAAGGAACTGTTTCTGAAAAGAAAGAGAATGTCTCTTGCTGTGAGAATTGCGTAGTTCAAAAATCATATTGTTCATTTTTCTGTTATCCTGAGAGTAGACAATCAATATTTGGTTTAGACTGGTCTCAAGGAGAGTATGACTTTTAAGGACTTTAGCAGAAGCTGTATCACCTGTAATTCTAGGCTAAAACTGTGGGAGCTAGGGGAAAAAAAGCAGAGTTCTGGCCGGGCGCGGTGCCTCAAGCCTGTAATCCCAGCACTTTGGGAGGCCGAGGCGGGTGGATCACGAGGTCAAGAGATCGAGACTATCCTGGTCAACATGGTGAAACCCCGTCTCTACTAAAAATACAAAAAATTAGCTGGGCATGGTGGCACGTGCCTGTAATCCCAGCTACTCAGGAGGCTGAGGCAGGAGAATTGCTTGAACCCAGGAGGCGGAGGTTGCGGTGAGCCGAGATCGCGCCATTGCACTCCAGCCTGGGTAACAAGAGCAAAACTCCGTCTCAAAAAAAAAAAAAAAAAAAAAAAAAAAAAAAAAAAGCAGCGTTCTACCATAGGGTCAGGAGTAGTAAGTAAAACCTAGTCCAAGAAGAAGTTACATAGATGAAATCAAAATCCCAAAAAGCTAATGATATACATGCTAATCACCTTTGCTTTCTTTCTATAAGCCTTCATTTGCAGCTATGAACTTTTAGGTGAATTATTTGTAATCACGTTAACATGTCCACCGTTTGATGCCTGCAACAGTGACATGACAGTACAGAATAAACCGCAACTCCTCTTCAAGGAGTCCCTTCTTCACGTAGCCTTGGCCAGTTTCCTTATGGAAAGTGCATTTGTTCTTGTCTCCATTTCAAAACAACTGCTTATATTCACTATGTAGATCAGTAAACCCATTCTTAGATTTTAGCTATCGTCTCCACTACACGCATGAGTGAGGACCAGATTTGTTCTCTATATGCCACTATCTCATACAAAATGCACTGGTCTTCCACTGCACTCTTCACATAGTAGATATGGGTTCTTGAATTATATTTTCTTAACCTACTAAAGGTAACCCACATCCTCCCAAATTTTATCACAGCTTGCCTCCAAGTCTGCACTTCAGTCTTTCAAAAATACAAGAGTATCTTTGAAAGAGTCGGTCAGAAACACAAAAAAGTTAAGAATAATGTTAATAATGTTAATAAACATTAAGAAGTGATGAGATAAGCTATATGTTGACAACTGATTATTTTAATGTATGCTAGACCCAATGAGTGGCTACCACTATTCATGCTGTGCATTTCAAATATAATTTAAAAACAGGTTTCCACCTTTAGTCATTTAATCTCAAAGCATATTTATTAGAATGAGGCCAAAGCCTTGAGAAAAACAAAGATTATTCTCTCAACAGCAACCAAAATAGAAATAAAAATTTTTACAACATACTTATGCTTCTAAAACTCATTGAATTTAAATGATTATTCAAACCAAATGAGCTTTCCTAGATGAACATTTTTGAATTATTTAGCTTTTATTATCTTTATAAACTCACTGTGTAGTAGAGAAGAGTAATTCTTCATAAACTTCTCCAAAGTGGGCATATAACAAGTTTAATTATGCTGCCTTTATTCTTACCAGCACTCAAATAATTGACATTTTTCTAAAAAGATTTGTTGTCAGTATTTTTGAAAGAAACATTTTAATGATTAGCTTCATACCTCCTGCAGAAGGTCCTCTTCATTATTCATCTCAACACTTTTTATTTAAGTTCAGCTTTGGAAACCACAATATCCTCAACAAATGCATTCAACATGTATTTATATGTATACCTACAACAAAGACTGCAGATGATGAATGCCATTGAGGCTTTTCCAGAGGGGTCTGGCAGGTAATAAAAGATAAACATCAGACTCTGATGTGTCCTGCCTAAGGCACAGTATGCTGAAAATGCACTAGAAGAATCGAATGACAAATGCTTGTTTATGCCTGACTCCCTGCAAACAAAAGACATACAAAGCTTGAAATTGTGTTGATTGACTTTTTTCTCCAACATACTGAATTTTTGTTATATAACAATTGTATTCTGGAATGATACCTATTGTCAGATTCCGATGATGAAGCACACTAGAATGATATTTATTGTCAGATTCAGATGATTAGACAACTATGCTGTCAAATCCCACAGACAAAAGCACAAATGGAAAAATACAGCTGTAAGTGACCCAGAATTTTACCGATGGCAAAGACCCGCTCATTTGTGATTCTAATTTTTATTTTCTTTTTTGGATCCCTCTGGCCTCCAAATTAATTCTGGACCTTCATTTTAAAACTGAAGTATCTTTCTTAGCCTTTCCAGTTCTCCAAATGTCTGTCTCTGACAAATCCCAGACCATCCCTGCTGTCCACAATGAACAATGGAATTATCTGCAGGCTGTCCCATAGGGTCCCCTAAATAATCCTAACTCAGTAGAGGAAATGGGGAATGCTTTCTCTTCACTAGTAAAGGGAGTTTGAAATTATACTTCTTCTGCCATCAACTCAACTTCAAGTATAGTTGATGATGGAGGGTATGTAGTTTCTTCTGAACCAAACCGAATTCTCTCTAAGCATTTTCCATGTGAAAGTGTAGAGTCTTCATGGCTAATACTTCTGTCCAGGTCTGCTGGGCCTGAGGAAGGCCAAGCCAATACTACAACCAGTCAATGCTGCCTGACTCACTTGGCCCATTTCAAAAGCCCCATTTTCTAAAGACAGTGATTAACTATTCCTATTTCCATTCCATTGGTACTAGTTCCATGACTGACTCCAGAGCTTCTGCTCTGTGTAGCCTCATCTACAACCAGAACTTGGATTTGGACCTAGTTCTGAGACTGATGCCAACCTGAAACTGCATCCTGAATATGGCTATTTTGGACTCTTGAACCTCCCCAGGAAAAGGGATTCTGTCTCCTCTCTTGGTATTCGACTTGCTCTTGGTGCTTTTCCCCAGATCTCTAGTAGGGTATTTAATTCCCAGAGTGTCTTGTACCAGAGCCTTACCTAAGTTTTTGTCAATCCTCTTCTGAGACCATGTTTACCTCCACTCTGAAAACTTTTTCCTGCATGTGCTTGTTTCCGTGCAAAATAGGTGCCATTGAGCTATGGAAAAAAAAATGTTTTGTGAAAAAACTTTATTTTCATTTCTGAAATGTTCCTTTCTGATGTCAAAGAAAAGAACGCCAAGCTGGGTTACATATTCAGTTACATATTGGGACATGTTTTTAAAAATCATTTCTTTATAGTACTGCTTACCCGAATTTTCTCTTGGGAATTTTATTGTTATTGAATATGCAATTTGATTCATTTCATCTTCTTTTCCTTATCTTATTTTGACAATCTCTTCTCCTCAATGTATATCCATGAGCTTCTTCTAATATCCTTTCCTGAATTATGTCAGTTTCCCTTGATTTTATATCAATGTACCAATACCATCATGCTCATTTTTGTAAAAAGTGTCCTAAAGCTTGGTTGGACATATGGTATATAACTCAATTCATGATATTAACCTGATGCATATTTTTAAACATACATATTACCTTTATTTAGAATCAGTGTTTCCAAAGGAGAAACCAAATGTTCGTAAAGGGCTTAACAAATGGATAAGAAAAGTAATAAGTGGTCAATCAGTCCATATTCAACACTCTTCATTCACAAGCATTTGTTCAATATGTACTATAGCCAGAAAGCTCTCTCAGTCAAAATGAATGTAGTCATTGAGCCATGAATGTAACAGATACAAGCCTTTCCCTTACCACTCTTCTGAGACAACATATGGAAAGACTGTTCAACTCAAGTACTTCTCTTGCCAAAAAGTTGTAATCTAATTGAATGGATCCAGAGAAGAGTAACTAAAATGATTAAAGGAATTATGGGATTCATTTCATGAGAACAGATTGCTGAAGCTAAAGCTTACTAAGTACCAACAAGGGGAAACAATATGTTGTTTACCACTAAGTTACTGCCTTCTGATGAATTATTGAACAGGATTGGAAGAGCAAAGGATGCAAATTAAGTAAAGGATTAAATCTATTCTTTTATTGTGGGAGAAAATGAAATCACAATGATTCTGCTTTTGTTTCATGTTTACATATATTATATGTTACAGAACACTGTATAAAATACAAAGTTCTTGTCTTCCCAGCACTAACTGCTAAGGAAATAGGGTGAAAACATGCCCAATGAGACCAAGGAAATAACTGAATTGTGAGAATAGTAGACAAGTTCAGTGACGGAAATACTCTTTCTCAGGACCTTCACCAATCCCAAAAATGTGGTTTCAGGTCAGCATAAGAACATAACAACCATGACAGAAGGACACTTGCACCCTGTCTTCCTCCAGATTTTTTGTTGTTCTAAAAGCTGCATGTGTTTGTTCCTCCTTTATATACATCTAATTATGACATACATAACTGGAAGACTACATTGACACCCTTTATTGAAGAAATAATATTGGAGTTCCCCTAGTTTTAGAATTCCTGTTCACAAAGGCCCCAAAAGTTCCTTTCATGAATCCTGTCCCAATCTTTTTCCAGATCTGCCCAGAAATAGCTCATTTTCTAAGAAGATGGTAGCTGTGTTTACAGAATTAAGATTTTAAACCGATCATTTAAAAAAATTGAAGTGGGGACAGGTAAAAAAATCAGTGAATTCAGGGCTGAGTGGAAATACACATTGGTAGGGAACCTGAAGAATGTTTTTGTGTGTCCTTTTTATTTGTTCTAGAAAAGGAATTTCTCCTCTCATCTGCCCCTTTGATAAACCTAAATAAGCAATGAGTAGAAAAGAATGTAACTCCCTGAAAAACAATTTTTTTGTAAAGTTGATACAATTTAAAACTAGTTTAAAATCATTTTAATTTAGCATTTTCAATGATTTTCACATATCCTTAAGCATTTATATATTTAGCACAAGCTTCAGAAATTTAAATGAAGTCAGTTGTTAAAGTGGAAGCATGAAATTCTGAATTCCAAGGCACATAAGGAGCTTGCAATCACATATAATAAGTTAAAAATTATTCCAAAACCGCCCAAGCTATTTTTAGAAGAAGGAGAGTGCCACAGAATACATTTCTTTTTATTTGTTAGATTTATGGGGCCCAAGTGCAGTTTTGTTACATGAATAGAGTGCATGGTGATGAAGTCTGGACTTTTAGTGTAGCCATCACCGGAAGAGGAAACATTGTACCTATTAAGTAATTTCTCATCACTCACCCTACTCCACCATTTTGAGTCTCCAGTGTCTATTCTCAGTATACATTTTTATAACACTATTAATTTTTTTAAAAATTGGTAGCTGGTGTTGTCCTTGTTTCCTTCTTTTAATGACATCAGTCTATTTGTTGGGATAGTACCTACGAATTCTTGAGAGCACCAAAACAGGTTATTAACATAACCTGTTTTTATATATATTTTTATATATATATATATTACATTATATATAATGTATACATCCCTAGTAGTTCTAGTAGATATACAAATGTGGTTTAGGGCATATACAAATCACTCAACTGCAGAATACAGATTGTCTTCATGAGCACATGGAATATTCTCCGGTATAGACTATATGTTAGGCCATAAAACAAGTCTTAACAAATTTTTTAAAATTAAAATTATATCAAATGTTTCTCAGACTCCAATTAAATATATATTATATATATATATATATAATTTAATACATATAAACAGGTTATGTTAATATTACCATATTTTAAAATATAATAATGAACATAGTACATATTAACATAAATAGCATTTTTTATAGAAAATTAATACTACTTATTTTTGCAAATTTCTTTCATGTCTAGTGTAAGAGAAAAACCACTGGAATCTTACACCTGCTTTTGTATTTACCATTTTTTTTCTTTTCTTTCTTTTTTTTTTGAGAAAGAGTCTGCTCTGTCACCCAGGCTGGAGTGCAGTGGTGTGATCTCAGCCCACTGCTATCTCCGCTTCCCGGGCTCAAGCAATTCTTCTGCCTCATCCTTTCAGATAGCTGGGATTACAGGCACCCGCCACCACATCTGGCCAATTTTTTGTATTTTTAGTAAAGATGGGAGTTCACCACGTTGGCCAGGCTGGTCTCGATCTCCTGACCTAAGGTGGTCTACCGGCCTCAGCCTCCCAAAGTGCTGGGATGACAAGCCTGAGCCACCACGCCTGGCCTGCAGTCATTCTTTTGAGTTCATGTCATGCAACCTCTGGAAATTTTCACTGTATGCTCATGCTAGAATGAGAGCGAAAAGGCAAATACGGTCTTACTATCATTGTAAAAATAATTTTGACCTCACAGTCTCCTCATGGGATCTTGGAATCCCGAAGAGTCCCTTAACCATACTTTGAGAACAGCTGCTGTACTGAAACAACCAGCAGATCAAAGACCCAAGTCTTTAACAAACTGGAAAATCTAAAGAAAAACACGAAATTCCTAGAAACATAGAACCTACCAAGATTGAATCAGGAATATATTGAAAACCTGAAGAAACAAATAATAAGTAGCAAAGTAGAACGAGTAATAAAAATTCTCCCAACACAGAAAAAGCTGAAGACTGGATGGATTAACTGCTGAAGTCTACCAAATGTACACAGAAGAACTAAGAACAAACCTCCTATTACAAAAAGTTGAAAAGAAGAAAATTCTCCCTAAGTAATTCTACAAGGCAAGCATTACTCCAGCACCAAAACCAGGCAAGAAAAGAAAAGAGAAGAGGGGAGGGAAGAAGAGGTGAGGGTAGGGGAGGGGAAGAGGAAA